TATATATATATATATATATATATATATATATATATATATATATATAAACTTTAGTGCATTTTCTTTGTATGGAGCAAGTCAAAAATCCCCAAAAAGCATAAACATATCTGCCTTCAACTAGAATGTTCTTGGACATGATATACTGTATATATACATATTTTACCAGTGTAAAATACATGTCAGAGGAACTGTCATTTCAAGTATATGGGGGTAACATTTAGTGGGAATTCCCTCCAGGAGAAACATGCCTTTCACAGAGTTAGTCGTAATTCACAGGGAGCTCGGCTGTCAGGATTTGTCAGAGTTTGTGCTCCTGAATGCAGCACTGGTAGCTGCAGAAATCTGGACATACAATGATTTTTTTTTAAGGTTATAGTGTATTTTGTACAAAGTACATGTGATTTGTGTCTGTTGAAGGAAATAAAAAAAGAGAGAAATACCGAAGAACAGAAACTCTGACAGTATCACAATAAAGTGGGCAGTGTGACTTTTTCAAGTTTAGCAGTTGCTATCTTGACAGTAAAATAGGCCTGCACTTCCCTCAATGAACAGAGACGCTGCAATCTCACTTCCTGGCCGTATTGTTTAATCATCTTTTACTATCATGTAGAACAGCTCAGCGGTTGAGATAATAACTGTGGCAGCGTACTGAGCCTGGAGCGCCAGGTAGTAAAAGACCCGACATTTATAGTCTTTCTTCTCTCCCCTAACAATGCTGGCATTTTTGCCAGAAGGAGACGGTGGAAAGTCGACAGGAAAGAAGAGATTTGCTCTAGAGGCAACTGCCCGCCATTTTGTCTCTGTCCGTTTAGTGTGTGTCAAAGAAGAGGTGTAAAAGTGAGCTTAATCCAACGTGCGTTCATGCTCGGCTGTTCTCACAAAGTGAAACCAATCAAAGCTTTCTGACCCCTGTTTCTCTCTCAAGCTTCTCTTTTGTGACACCTAACTTTATTACCCCCTCTCGTTTCAAGCCTTCTGTTGGGTTATATATCTCTTGGAGTTTTACAACGTGCTACTCACTGTTTGTGTGTGTGTTACTGTGTCAATGCCCTGTGTGAAGCGTAACAGCTTTCCTGTGAGATCTGCAATTGTTGTCATTCCTTTGTTTAAAACAAGCATCCAATTGATCCTAATTAGCCAAATAAGGAGCCACACTATAATTTAACACAGTGCTTCACTGATGGCTGACTTCCTTTTCTTTCTCACCCTTTTGCCGTGTTCAGGGTTTTTCTGTACACGCACCCATGCATACAGTACCTCTTTGTCTAACTGAATTTAATATCGCTCAAAGCCAGTCTAAGCTGTTCGGTTATTCATACTGTTATCTGAGAACGGCTTTGGTCAAAGGCTTTTATCCGTTACTTGGATCATTTTACAAGTTTTATGACATTGTTGTAAAACCATTGAAAGTTCTATTGACCTCCTCTGTCACCCTGTTCCTCTTTTGTCTGACTGGGATGTTTTCTCTCTGCTTCCATTTACAGAGACGTTGATGGACACAAAGTGGGCCACTACAGAATTAGCATGGACTGCGCACCCTGAGACTGGGGTGAGTTCACTGGGAAGAGTGTGACTATGTTTTTGTGCCAATTTGTATTTATGATGAGCAGAGGTGATTCATAAATGAAAATGTAGGTTGTGCAACAAACAAAGACTTTCTTGTCCAGCTAAGCTTTATTAAACTTCATAAATTCAAATTTAAGAAATAGGTGTTTACATGTGGACAGAATGCTCTATGCATCACAGGCTGCACACCTTCATAAAAAGAAAAAAAAAATAAAGGTTTTGTAAGATTCATCATGTTGTGTTTTCTAGCGTGCGGGCAAAGATCCAGTGCAATCCAATTTCAGTTCCCCGCCCAGTAACAGATGTTTCTTTCTCTTTGCATCAGTGCACATAAAACAAGTGAAAAGTCAAGCTTGCTATAAATTAACTCTAAAAACACTCAAATATCTCTCAGCATTGACAATTCACCCATCTCTACATTCAAATTTATCTCACACGAAGTCACACGGACACCCTCATCTTGGTTTCCCATGTGGGATCCACAATGGGCTAAAGAGAAGCAAGAAAAAAAGTCTTGACCCCTCCTAAGCTATACTTCAAAAGGTGCCAGCACTCCTCCCCTTCTTTTTGTGTGGTCCTCAGACTTTAGACTTGGGTTTTGAAAGGTGAGTCCCCCCATTTTTTATATTTTGTTGTTACCCTAGCAAACTTCCTTCATCGTTCGTCGTTCGAAGTCTCCCACTCTCCATATGTGGCTTTTCTTTTTTCTCTAATGGCTGACGAAGCTAGGCGCACTAGCCATCAGCTGTAAACAATCAGAGGCCAAACTCCCCAGCAGCCTCTCATGACCTCTTTCTGCAACCCCTCTCAATCTCCCCATACGTCCATCTTCCCACCTCCTTACTCTTGTTAAGCCGTAATGCAGCAGCTCTGCTCCCGCCAGGTAGCCATGGCATAGATGATAAAACAAACAACAATGTGTATTCTTAGTTTTGTGTATTTCTTAGTTCATATCTTAGATCGTATTACTGTTTTTCTTTACAATGTATATGTTTGTTGGACGTAACTGGGACCCTGTGTACACAGTTTTGATCCACCACATGTACCACATATGGTGGGAACGACAAATAAAGAAACTTTGACTTTTGACTTTGACAAAAAAGCTCTATTAATCTTGCTAAACACAACAAATGCATCTTTAAAAAGACATTTGTGTAGCGATTAGCATTTTGCAATCCTCAAATTACTGACCTAAGCAGAGCTGGGGTTTTTCCTGCAAGCAGAATGTGCCACAGACAGTACAAGTTATCTTTTCAACATTTCTGCTTTTTTCTTCTGTTTTTCCTATACTGTACATAAACTCAGACAAAAATAAAAAATACAATAAAAAGAAAAATCAATCAACGCAGCTGTTATGCCTTTTTATGTTTTTTGCTTTGTGCACACTGAAGATGATTGTGTGCTTTTGCAGTCTTGCAGCATGGATGACATGGCCTGTTTTCGTTATGTGTGACAAGTGTTTAAAAGGAAGTGATAAATTGGCTGAAAAGACAAATAAAAAATACGGATTGAGCTTGGAGAGGAGCAAGACTGAAAATAAATAGTTTCTAGCAAACTTTGTACAGAAAAAAAAAAAAAAGACAAAAATGGGCCAATCCACAGGACAAAACAAATCTATTTCAAGTACAGAAAAAGAAAATACATTTTCCCAAATGGTATGACTCATAACATCTCTGTATCTTTTTGGTGGTTGTTCCATCACAAACAAATAAAGCTGCAGAGAAAATTTCAGAACTGAAAAGTCTAGAAAAATGTTTCATGCCACATTACTGAGGGTTCTGTTTGTGTCCATGTTTCTTATCATGCATCCTCACCTCTATTCCTATCTATGGTTTGGGCATAGCACATGCCAAAAAGTCACGCTGTCTTTCCAACAGCATGGATGAATTTGTGTGTCTATGTATGAGAGTTGTGCATGGCCACACATCTACTGAGACTTAGCTCTGTTTTTGTTTGATTCCATGTAGTTTATCCATCAGACATATCATTTATGCTCTTAAAACTAGCTGGGAGATGAAGGGGAAATTCCACTTCAGCAGCGCTCTTGTAAGACTTGGAACAACACTCCCCAGGGCTTTTCACAGCCTAACAACAAAATACCATGTTTGACTTGTTGACATTCTGTAATAACTGTTAGTACGTCCTGCTTCACAGACCCCCACCACGCAAAAACATGTTTTACAAAAAAACAAATTAAATTAATAAATGAAACTGTGCACGTCCTCTTTTTCCAGTCAAGCCTTAAAGGTATATTTTGTTCACATCTAAGTTGTCATGTTTACAGTTAATTCATAAAAGGCTTGAAGAGCAATGCATGCTGTGAGACTTCTATAAAATTAAGAAAAGATCATCCTCTCCAGAGACAGAAAGAGACCTGAAAAAAATAGCACACATGTAATGAGTAATGTTGCTTTAAACAATCAAATGCAAGTAAAAAGCAGCTTTGTCAAACTACACTTTGAATATTAATGTAAGATTTTTTAAACGGTATGAGAAAAAAAAAACAAAAAAAAACAGTGTACCTGCTATAAACACCACATTAAAAAAAAAGTTTTTTTAGTTAAATAAAAGTGTGTTAAAGTGTGTAGTCATCATCATTATGTGTGAGCCACACTGAGCCCTTATGTCCAAAACAACAGTAAATCCCCACGCTTTGGCCCCAGCTCTATGCCGTCTATAATAACTAATTATCAATTATGAATATGTAACTGCTTTGCTCACTAAGCCCCTAATGTGAGGGTCTATAAACTTTCTGTGATAATGTTTTCATATACAAATATCACAAAGTGCCATTTTATAGATTTAACACTAAAGCGAGCATTAGTATTTTCACTAAAGCAAAACAGCTCAGAGATTTAGCTCGTCATGAAACATCTAAAGGTCCAGATACAGGCATGAGCTGCACAACATTTAGACAAGACTCAAACAAAACATTGCATTGCTAGGCAACACTGTGCTATTGAATTTCTTTTGACTGTCAGCTACTATGTTAAGGTATAATCCTCATAAAACTGATGTAATGTTGCACACCACAGAGAACTCCCAAATTGTATCCAAGCTCAATTTTACTGTTTACAATATATAAAGCAATGAGCCCGAGTGATATGTCAAACTCAGGTAAAACCAACAGTTTACATCAAAAAGGTAACGCAATAAGAAAAACAATCATTTACACTCTAATACAATTTTAGAAACGCTAACATTTATAATACTTGAAAAAAACTGAAGAGTTACAGTGCATTATTTGTCTACAGAGTTATGCCTATTGGTAATTAAAAGTAAGCGCTCTCTCCATATGTATTTTGGCAAACAAAGCTGATACAAGGTGCAGTCTCCTCTCCTGAAACTAAACCAATCCCTTAACCGTGCAGACGAAAATATTCTACAAGCAAAACAGACAACCAACAGATAGCAATGGTCTACTGGTAATAAGTTTAAGTAAAATTAAAAAAAAAGTTACATTTCACAATTTATACCTCTCTGTTCTGTTCCCATCATCACTGACTGTTCCAGAACACAATTTATTGGCCAAAATGTTGCAAAACATATTTTTCCAGCTGCATTGTGGACCTCTAAGGAGCAGCATGCTTCATTACTTGGGTATTGTTCATTGTAATCTGAAAGTAAAATTCAAAGCTTTGATTGGAAAGGACACAAAGAAAATACAGCGAATTGCCAATTTTGCATAACGATTCATCTTGCTGAAAATCAATACCAAGAACGTTGAGGCGGTCTCACACAACCTAATTTATTCAGGCTTGGTGAGGAGGCACTTTGAGTGTTTGCCCACCAGTGCATGTCTTGGGGAGAGAGGTGGGGGGTGACCTCTCTCCAAATGCACACTTACAGCTCGACTCAAACATACACACTGAAAAGTACAAGCTAAGGCAGGCACACTCACACCAGCACTTTAAACAAACACACCCAACTTTATACACACACCCACAAACACTTGGCTGCAATGCTCTTTTTGCAGAGGGTGATTTATTACACTGAACTAAATACCCATTGACACATCATGCTTTTAGCTGTCCTATTGACCTGGCTGGTGATTATTGATTCCCTCCGGTCGCTTCTTCTTTCTCTAGCTATTGTTTTAATGCCACTGCTGAACTGCACCCTTTCCCCCTCTCTCTGCCTCATGGCCACCAGGGTCTTGGATGAATAGCCCTGTCTCCACCACATCCATATCACATCCTTAATTAAGATGCTCAGAGCTTGGATAGAAACAACACGCTTCGAGGAACAAATTGGTGTCTTTTTACAAGTTTTGAGATTAGTTTAAAGAAAGTCAATTATTCTGTGGCAAAGTTCAGTCCTAAAAGTGTAACCACTAATATTCAACTTTGTTACAGGCCTGTCTTTTGGGTTACAACTTTTTTTTTTTTTTTTGGCGATAGAACAGATTAAAAAGAACATCTTGTAATTAAAAGTTCACAGTGCTGCACATTTCATTGATTGGTCAGAAAATGTCTAAGACATTTTTTTCCAAAATTGTGCACTGTCTTGTTTTGTATCTTCCCCATAGTTCTTCGGTTTGCTTTAGCACATTTACACACTTGTTGCACAACTATTTGACTTTTGGTTGTAATTAGTATTTCCCAGCATGCAACCTATAGATTTTAAAATAATTTTAAAAAGTAATGTACTTGAATGTTTGTCTAATAAAAAGAGAATGGATAAGATATCCTCCAGCAGCTGTAAACATGTTACACACACAACTATATAATACATACAGAGGTTGCTGCTGTAAATGAGTAAATTATTGGGCTTCTCAGGTTAGTCTCATTGAGTCATGAGGACTAATTTTCAAGAGACCTGTTTTAGACAAATCACAGATAAGGTACACACAGCAATAAACAGCCATAAAATGCATATACATTTAAAAAGTAAATAAAAGTAGTGATATAAAACAAAATAAAATCAAGCTACGTTATGAAACGAGGTAAAATGCTAAAAACAGGAACATGTCTCTGTTGTACACAATGTTAGATTACTGGATTTTACAGCAATGTATTACTGTACAATTAGGTTGCACTGATTAAAAAAAATCTGGTAATCAAAGTTTAATAAATTAAAACTTATTTGATCATGAGCAAATCATCTCTGTGTATTGTAGGAGCATTGAAAGTTGTAAAGGAGTCAAAAACCAAAAAAGCATGAAGGTCATGTGATGTCTTTCTGCAGCCTTTATTAGAGAACATTGCAGTCATTGCTCAATAATTAAAATTTAATTTCTTGTGAAGCATTGTGGCTACTACTTCCAAACAAATATGAGGTAAACATGCTGTGGTGGGTTTGTGGTGAGGAGGTGACAGGTTGCTGTAATTGTGATAAATCTGCTGTTCTAGTTCCTGGCTCGTTGCCACAGTAATCAGAGATAAAAAGCATATTATGGTAAAAGGAAGTGAGTGGAGGTGAAATATTGGCCAACAAAACACCAACTTTGTGTTCAGATCCTATCCTTAGCTCTGTTTCTTTCTTTACTTGCTCTTTTGAAGTGTTATTTAATGTACCTCATCAGAGTTTGACACATGATGAAAATAATTTCACAAATAAAATTGGTAAGATTTGAAATATACTATTAGGTACAGACTTTTATTCTTGTCTTTTTTATTTTTCAGTGGGAAGAGGTGAGCGGCTATGATGACCTCATGAACCCCATCCGGACGTACCAAGTCTGCAATGTACGAGAGCTCAATCAAAATAACTGGCTACGAAGTGACTTCATCCCGCGTAAAGATGTACTGCGTGTGTATGTAGAGATGAAATTCACAGTGCGTGACTGCAACAGCATTCCCAACATACCAGGTTCCTGCAAAGAAACATTCAACCTTTTCTACTATGAGTCTGACTCAGATTCAGCAACAGCCACAAGCCCTTTCTGGATGGAGAACCCATATGTGAAGGTGGACACAATTGCCCCAGATGAAAGCTTCTCCATGCTCGAGACTGGACGAGTAAACACAAAGGTCCGGAGTTTTGGGCCACTGTCCAAAGCCGGGTTTTACCTGGCCTTTCAGGACCTCGGTGCTTGCATGTCCCTCATCTCAGTAAGAGTGTTTTACAAGAAGTGCTCCACCACAATTGCCAACTTTGCAATTTTCCCAGAAACAGCAACAGGAGCCGAGGCAACTTCCTTGGTAATTGCCCCAGGTACTTGTGTGCCCAACGCCTTAGAGGTGTCTGTGCCATTGAAGCTTTACTGCAACGGGGATGGAGAATGGATGGTTCCTGTAGGAGCTTGCACATGTGCAGCTGGGTTTGAACCAACCATGAAGGATACTCAGTGTCAAGGTGAGTGTTTTCACAACAAATTGTCAGTCCAGGATTCTGTTACCCATTGCTTGTGGTGGAAGTTTATAAAGTTAGGTAGTCTTTGTTTGTGGTGGTTTAAGACGTGAGATTTTTCAACAGAGTGCACGTGATTTAAGCTCCTTTTACTGAACTGTAATGTTTTTATATTGCATGCAACAACTTTACCTTTCTGGTCATGGCATTGGAAAATGTCTGTTTTTAGCCTAAAAAAGTCCAAGTTTTGCTGAGGGGACATTTTATGAAGACACAATCATTGACACAAGGTATAAATATTGAGTGCAAACTATTTTGGCCACAATCTATTGCTAGAATGTCCAGTTGCTACTTTGTTATTAGTCAAGTCACATTAATGCACAACTTTACAAGTAAAAAATAAATAAATGTGATGGCACCAACAGATGGAGGCTTTTCACTTCTCTGACCTGAACAGGTTGGTATAGAATTTGGAGTCAGATTGATATACTGTGCATCTCTATTTATTAAATATAGACCTCATTTTTGCCATTCAGCTGGTTGTTAACTACAAAGTAAATGGAAAATAAGTTTAGTCTGTGTGTTTATGAAAGCTCATGTGTTGATGGTTTCGGATTTGATGGAAAACATGACACGTTCTCAGAGGTTGAGATAAAGGTGAATTTTAATAGCGTGGTCTCTACTGAACTGGTGTGCAGGAGACAGCACTGGAAGAATGAAGAATAGATGTAAACTGTGTGTGTTGAGTGGTGTGAGGCTGTAAAATTGGGCTCTGGGTGTGTAGGTCAAAAGGGTGGAGCAGAATGATAGAGTGGGAGAAAGAGAGACAGGAGTGGCGGAGTTATTGATCAGCAGGGGTTGATTGCACAATGTCTGCATGTCCACTTTGTGGGGGTTTGTGCATCATCCTTGCTTGCTTGGGTTCAGAGGACTCATTCTTCTTCTGATAGCAGAGACAGATGAAGCTAAAAGCATCATTTTTCAGGACCCATATTTGTGATCAGACAGAGAAAGAGTGGATACTTTGCAATGACAGCTTCTTGAAAACCCTTGATACTGCACATTTATGGTACTCACCTTTATTAAAAGGGAGTATGTATGTGAAAGTGCGTATTAAATCCAAAACAATGCAAATGTAGTTAAAAACTTATTTGCTTGCATCTGGCATCTCAAGGTTAAAGCTCTGGCGACTGGGCCCTGATAAAATGTTCTCTAATCACTGCAAACCACAAAGGATACATCTCCCTCTTCTTTTTTCACATCACCTCTCCTCAGGTCCACTCTTTATCCCTCCTCTACCACGCCTCACGCTAGTTTTTCTTCATCTTTTTATTGCATCTTGTCCTGCTTTTCTGTTCTTTTCCCAATACGCGGTGCTTCTTTCCTGCTTTAGTCCTTACTTTTCCAATTCCTTCGTAATCCGAAGGCCATTGCTCTCATTAATAAGCCACCAGAGACACAGTTGGGATGTCAGCATTAATATTTATCGATGAGGCCTTTTCTTTTTTTTGCCTATCCACTCATTTGCTGCACATTTTTCCACTACCAATATTCTTTACTTTCTTCATGCCTCACACTTTCCAATTTCAGCATACATTCTAATCAGTTCCTTAAGCGCTACGTTCTGCATGAGAGGATAAGACACAGGGGACTGAGGAAGAGGGTGGGAGTGGGGGCGCCTACAGGATTAGCATTTTCTGTGCCTCCACTTCCCCCTCCACCTTTTTCTCTCCCACTTGTCACTCTTTTTGCTTCATTCTTTAATGGTTCCTCTCAGGGAAAAATGGATGAAAGGAGGAGGATGACCCCTTTACTCACTGGAAGTGATTGATCAGCACATTCAACCTTTTTTTTTTTTTTTCCTGAAAAAGAAAAATAGCCTCTTATAATGGAAATGCACTCTCAACATCTGTGGTCAGGCCACCATGTAAAAAAAATACCACAATATTTCTTCCTCTGTTAGTTTAGAGATGTCATTTAGTTTATTTTACTGTCGGGTGAACTTAAATGAACTTTGTGTGGGTCGTGGTACTAATCGAAGAGGCTGTTCTGCCACCCGGTAAAACTGGATGTGAATTATCTGTTTATCAAGCAGTACTTCCTGTGAGCTAGCAGTGTAGATGACTCTGATTAATGGTGGAAAAACAAATATACTTAGAGCTAGTGTACACAATGCAGCAAACCTGGTGGTTTTGAGCTAATATTGAAGTTTTAAAGCTAGAGAACAGGAGCAGTCTGTTTAACCATTGGTCTGTTATAAATTTGACCTTCAGTCTTGTATTTTATTTTCAACAGAAAACATAAATCTGGCACAGAAGCTAAATTATCATTATCAAACCTTGTAGTTTGTCCTTGACACCAACAGTCTTCTACACTAGTAGGTCATTTAATCAACTGGTTCTAGTAAACGTTGCCTGCTTTACCTGCTGTCTTTTATTAGGCGTTGCGGCAAACCCATTCATCTTTTAACAAGACAGTTTATGAAAGATATGGACCCTGCCAAAATGTTCTGGATCACAGTACTTCATTTACTCTTATCCTGGATGCTTGTAACTTATCATGAGAGTTATAAACTTCCAAACAACCTCTATAAATGGAGATAGGTCTTTTTCAAAGGGTAACAGTCTTTTCCTGTGATTAATGAAGCTCTGCCTAATCAAGAACCAGTTAAGGTAAAGCTATGTTGTTGTGTATTGCTGTTTTCTGTACATAGGGGAACACAGCAAAAAAAAAAAAGCTGTTTTGATAAAAAAACAACTATTATTTGCGATTTACGTTTACACACTAGTGTGTCATTTTCCTTGTTTTGTTACATTTTAAAAAGACAACTTGGGCCAAAGTCAAAGTTATTTTCAGTGTTCAAGCTGTTTTAGTAAATTACAAGTTGTCAGCTTATTCGTGTGAGCATTAGGTTTGCAACAAAATTAAACTGCATGAAAAAGTGGTTAGTTACTAAATTGGTTAGTTTAACCTTTTTCTTAGTTCATATCTTAGATCTTATTACTGTTTTTCTTTTACATTTTATACTTTTGTTGGATGTAACTGGGACCCTGTCTACAAAATTTTATTCCACCACATGTGGTTTGTATGACAAATAAAGAAACTGATTCCCTGACTCTGAAATTCAGGGGTGGCTCCGTTGGTAGACCAGTTGCTTCTCAGTGAGAAGTTTGCCAGATTAAATCCCGGCCGGGAACCTTTCTGAGTGGAGTTTGCATGTTCTCTCCGTGCATGCATGGGTTTTACTCGGTACTCTGGTTTCCTCCCACAAACCAAAATCATGCATTTTAGGCTGATTGGTAACTCTAAATTGTCCTTAGGTGTGAGTGAAAGTGTGAATGGTTGTTTGTCTCTACATGTCCAAGGTGTCCCCCCGCCTCTCACACAGTGACTGCTGGATATGGGCACCAGTGACCCCCCCGAACCTGGAAAGAAAGAAGTGGGTAAAGATAATGGATAGATGGATGGAAAAAAAAAATCTAGTTTTTGGATGAACTCATCAAAATTAAATCGAAACAGTACACCAGTTCAGAGTGCACAAAATATGTTCACAGTTTTATTCTTTTTTACCAACAAGTTTGTAATAAATCATGAAAAATACAAGAAAGACACTGGTATTTGTTGTTAAAACTTAGAAACACCAGCAATTTTCAGCCGTTTAACCAAGTTTGTCTGCTCAGTGGATAATAATAATAATGTGTTATGTGTTGTCATCATTGTATGTTCCCCTACAATGGCAAAATTGGCTTTCTGCATTTAACCCATCACACCTGGGATACACTCAGGTGGAGCAGTAGGCAGCTTTTGAAAGCTGCCCGGGGAGCAATTAGGTATAAGGTGTCCTGCTCAGAGACACCACGAGATGTTCAATGACTGGGGATCAAATCTGGGACTTTCAAGTCTCAAGTTGGCTGCCCTGCCTGTACCCCATCTCAGCCCAAAATGCATTTAAAAGCAATTATATTCAGTATATTCATATGTATTATTTAAACTTTGATATTTACATTTTACTTTCAGCTTGTAGCCCCGGCACATTCAAGTCCAAACAAGGAGAGGATGCCTGTTATCCATGTCCACCCAACAGCCGAGCAGCCTCTGGAGCAGCTAGTGTTTGCTCCTGTCGAAATGGTTATTATCGCTCAGACACCGATTCTGCCGATTCCCCCTGCACAAGTAAGTAACTTTTCAAGTATTAAAATGTTATTTGGCATTGTTATAAGATCAGATATTTCTTTTACATTTTTATTTGCTCAAATGAGGATTGTAATCAGCCACAAAATGCTTGGAGATGTAGTTAATGTTCTCCCAACTTCCTTGTTTGAACTGAGGCTGTCAATGGCTGATAAAAGCTCTTGAAGGACACCATTCCCACCGTGTGTCACACATAGCAAACAAGGCTGCTTACTTTCTCATCATTATCAGAACTTTATCATCCAAGCCTCCCCCTCTCTTGTGCCATGCGCTATTTGGACTGCTGCATCTCTACAAGCAGAACGTAGAGTCATATCTCCCATAACAGTGCATTAAAAGCCAGCATGCAGATGTAGGAGCTAATTCATTTAAATAGTGAAGAGAGAACAAGATTCTCTTTTTTTGTGCTGCTAGGGTGGGGGTCTGATTCTCCCACAGCGTAGTGCAAGATAAAGCTCCGTTAATTGGATAAGAATTGCCAAGGCTCTGGCAATAGTTTGCTTTACCCGTTCCCTGCAGCACTTCACAAGTACACAGACTCGGTGGAAATAAGCATGCAATTCAAATTTAAACTCATGCCCTCTTTTTACTGAAGAACTGCTGGAACAGTCTCTTGCTATGCGGAAGGAATAAAATATTCCAGTTAATTCAGGAGAAATGTACTAATACCACAACACAAAGGAAATTACTGGGTCATGAATTGTGCTGAGAACAGCTATGGAATAATGAATATATGCCTATACAGTATAATGATATGTAAACGGTGTTTTTCAATATGGCTCTTTCTCTATTGTAAAGATTCTCCTGTTCTGTTACCAAGACAATTTTGTACACCTATTGTGCAAAAAGATTAAATTCTTCCTCTTTCACAACCAATTCACTTCTTCTCATCCATGCTTGTACCTCAATGTTGCAGCTGTTCCATCTGCACCACGCAGTGTCATCTCCAGTGTTAACGAAACTTCACTGGTACTGGAATGGAGTGAGCCTCGTGACCTGGGTGGCCGTGAAGATATCTTGTATAATGTAATCTGTAAGAAGTGCCTTCCTGAGCGAGGAATGTGCTCGCGCTGTGATGACAATGTGGACATTGCCCCACGTCACCTTGGCCTAACACTGCGCCGCGTGATGGTCCGTAATCTGCAAGCCCACACACAGTACAGTTTTGAGATCCAGGCAGTCAATGGAGTTTCCAGCAAGAGCCCCTATGCACCTCAGCTATCTGCAGTGAACATCACCACAAACCAAGCTGGTAGGTACAACTGCCTTTCAGAGATCAATATTGAACTTGTAGGCCATCTCAACTTTTTCATTGTGTGGAAAAAAGCTACAAAGAATGTAAGACAAAACACTCTAGGCTTAAGAAGTAGAGATCAATTCCTTGCAAGCATGTAGGAGTATGTTACATATTCCCTCTTTGAACAAGGATTTAGGTGGAAGACATTGTTGAATGAGGACAGAAAGGGGTCTTTTTTCAGACACCCACAGAATGCTCTCTACTAACATTGCTGCAAATAGAAATGGTAAGGCAGTGCATATTCATAGTGTTAAATCTTCAGTACTCTTGCAGCTCACTGGTTCCAACCTACTGCTCTTTCAGCTCTCAGTAACCACAGTAAATAGGTCAGTATAGTAAGTGTGAAGAAAGGGCAGAGTGCTGAAATGAAATGAATTGATTGAAACCAAGCTCTAGGCTTGTCCGTGATAAACCATTACAAATGTTTCCTGTTTGAATTTTAAAACAGTTGTCAGGGTTTGTGATATCCCTTTAATAAAATATGTGTTATATTTAAGTAAGGCTTTTGCATTTTCTTGATAGTTTGTTAGATTATGTGAGTTTGATGTATACCTTAAATGACTTCAATAAATTTCAGCGATGTTAAGCTTGCTCAGTACTTTTGTTCTGAAGAGGTGGTCTCTGTTCACATTCTCCCAGGGTTCTTAAGTTGTGTCTCAGATGTGTTTAGCAGCTATGTTAAATTTGCTCTCTTGCTTGGCTCAGACAACAACACAGATTATGCTTTACTCCCCCACCCCACCCCCCTTCTCCGTGGCCTTGTCCTCCTCACCTCTAACCTTGTGCGCTCACTTCTAAAAGATGCTTTTGGAATGCTGTTTCTTTGTGAACCTAGGACCCAAAGGCCCCACAGACCCCTATGTGAGGGCCTCATTGTTTTATGGGGGTCTGGTGCTGAGCTCACAGGGATGAGGGTCCACCCATAGCTGCATGGTGTCAGCTGGTTGGAGAGAGTCAGTAGAGGGGATAGACAGGGCAAGAGAGCATCATCTGTGATCAGATTATCTATTTGTGTAGTCCCATGACAATCCCTGCATGTGCATTCACCTTTTAAGAATGAAAATAAATACAAAGGGTGGTGATAAGCTCCAGGGGCCACATCCATGGTTACTGCAACATCTTCTTCCAGAGGAGGGCCTCTAATCCCTCAGCCAGAGTAACCAGGGTCTCTGCCTAGGAAGTATTTTCATCTGTAGGAGAAAAAAAAAGACATGAAAAGATGAAATAAAAGGGGTGGCTAAGAAGGCATACACTTGAGGTTGTAGAGTTTTGAGGACCAAAGAAAAACAGAAGTAAATCTGGTCAAAAATACAGCTAATAATTATGTAAAAAAAAAAAACAAGTTGAACAGTTTTAGGAACATTTTTTACTAAAACACTGAGAATGTTTTTTGGCCTAAAAGGAAATAGCCTACAACTTTATTTCTGGAGTCAAAATGCCACTGAAAACAGACAGTGGACATTAATATGAAAGTATTAGACGCACAGAAGGGAGAGAATCAGAGGTTCAGAACAAGACTGAACAGAGAAAATTCAAAGTGCCAGGTAGGCAGATGGCACTTGGTTTTTAATAAGTACGTGCAAACAAAACTTGGGCAGTTCAAGTGGGTGGAGTGGCATTATGCTTTATTTAAACCAGGATAGTATGTTCAAAGACCCATGTGTATTTGTAAAGGTTTTATGAAGTAGTTCATTGTTATACATACATATTGTATTTTGTTGTGTACTGTAATATAGCAATTGTGTTTGCATGATTCAAAGCACTACTTTTAAACTGTATTTGTTTGTTATCTTTCTGGTTTGTGACAGGAAAAACCTGTACCAGAAACTTATTGATCACCTTTAATATTTGATTTTCAAACCATCACAGAAGAACCTTCTCTTCTTCCCCTGGCACTCAGGGAGGGAGACTTTTAGGATTAGTAGGGAATGGTTCTGCATACTAATTAATGGCCATAGCTTTTCACAAAGCTCACTGCCTTGGACTTTGTGTCTGGGACAAACAAAGGACAGAGAACTTCATAAAACATATGGCAAAAAATACTAAACAAATCGTTTTCTTGAACATTTCTCCTCTGTGCAGCTCCATCTGCAGTGCCCACAGTCCACCTCATGGCAGCCACAGCAAGCACTATGAGCCTGTCCTGGCTTCCTCCAGAGAAACCTAATGGAATCATTCTGGATTATGAGATTAAGTACCATGAGAAGGTAAGCAGCAGTGTCAGTGAATGCCACTAATTTTATCCAATTTCATTGACTAGCATGGTCTCTGTTTCATCTGTTTTTGTAAATGAGAAAAACAATGCCTCTAGTGATAAGCACATGGTTACTGTGAGGCAAGTCACCACTTCCATTTTACTGTGAGCAGTCTCCACAACATATTTCCTTTTTTGTCACCTAATCCCCCCATCTCTTTTATTTTTCTCTCCTCCCAATCCTTTCCCAGACTTTTTATTATTCTGTGCCCTTTTCTGAATTCCTATTGCCCTTATCCTTTTCCCTTTCCTCGCTTAATATATGCACTCAAACTTTCTGATTTTTTTAGGAGCTCATAACTCCCTTTTTTTAACAAAGTGCTTCAAATTTTGATTCAGGGCAGGTGGTCTAGCCTGTTTTAAATATGTTACAGCTAATAACTAGTTCAATTTACAAACAGAGATGCAGGACACAGCTATGACATTGTGGTAGTTTAAACATCACTTTCTAATATATGCTTGATACACCCAATAGTGCATTTAGAGGTTTTGCAGAACACCAAAATTATTGTGTTCTCAAGAAGATAATCTAATACATCAATCTAATAGCTATATAAAAAAAAAGGTCTGTGTTTGCAAATTCCCTGTGCAAATTTTGGACTGAAGATTGGCATTTGCAAACGTTGTTTAATCTGAGTTTATATATGCCGAGTTGAAATGAGTGGCTGCTGTAACTCAAGCTCTTTTACCCTACAAAAGCACTTTTTAAAATCTGACTCAACAGATAATCTGCAATTCTGTAGCACCAGCTTTTTTTTTTTGTATTATTTTAAACTGGAACCAAAGCATTGGAGAGCAAAATGGAAAGCTCTAGTTCCAAATTAGTCTCTTAGTCTAAAAAAAACACAACTATTGAAGTAAATAAACCTCCAGATGTTTTGTTATTAGAATTTGCTTGAGTAAAAATAAAAAATCTAACATCATTTGTACCTGTTCATTACATTTTACTAGCAGATTAACCTAACACCTATAAATATGTATCTTTAAATATCAATCTCTTGTATCTGTCTTCATGTTTTCTCCCCAGTTTGCATGACTAAACTGATAAACACAGGAAGGTCGAAAGATTAGAGACAAGATAATAATGAATGTTGGTTGCTGTTTGGCATTACACTGTATTGTCTTTACTTGTCTTTTTTGTGCAGGATCAGGGTGAGGCCATTGCTCATACTATGACTGCCCAAAGGAGCAACGCCCGCATCGAAGGTCTTAAGGCTGGTACACCTTATGTGGTACAAGTCCGTGCCCGAACAGTGGCTGGTTATGGGCGTTACAGCAGCCCAACAGACTTCAGCACCAACCTGCAAAGTATGTTACTCCTATACTAAATAATTACAGAAAAGATACCACATTGTGTTGTACTGAAAAAAAGCTGTATAAAATACATTGATCAGCTACATAACAGGAAATAAATTTTGTATTTTGCAGTTAAAAAAAAACATTTTATCATCAGATTGTACAGTGTATTTGGGATTAGTTTGAAATTTAACAATGTTTTCATTATTTCACCTAAAGCTGATCCTCCAAAGTCATGGCAGGAGCAGCTTCCACTCATCGTTGGATCAATCACAGCCATCTTGGTCTTCATCATAGCAGTTGTGGTCATCGCTATTGTTTGCCTCAGGTTAGAATGACTCCTTAAAAAATAGAATGGTCATTGTGAATGAGAAATAGGTGATATTATGGCAAAACACTTCAATACCTTCCCTCAGTAGGGGGTTTAAAGTAACTATTGGGCATAATGTTAGTTTTTTTTTTTTTCGTTTTTTTTTAAGTTGATGAAAACGAAGACAGCTTCAAATGTCAACTTAGTTTGCATGTCCTCCAAACTACCTCAGTAAAGTCTTAGTGGATTGCTTTGCCACCTGTGATGCCACTGAATGCCAGATTAGCCTCCTGAATCTCTGAATAGTAAACAGCTTTGACCAAAAGGCTCTTTTGCTCACTGGACACACAGCATGGTATAGCAGCTGTTGAGTCTGATAGGCCTGCTCTCACGCCTCACGGCCCAGCGCTTTAGATCAACTGTGTGGCTGCCTGACCACTAAGGTCCCAAATGTGTCGGCTTAGCCCAACTGACTAAAAAGATGTGAATTGCTGCTCACACCTTTCAAAACGTCTGATACTGCATCTGCTGGGTTTAACCACAGTTGTTTATCAGTACACAACTCATTTGTCAAGCAACAAATGCAATGTGAGTGTGTGCGTATGTGTGAGAGGTTGGCACCCACTTCTGACTGGCGCCCACCGATCTCCATCTACAAGCCGGTTCAGGCAGGGGCTGACAAGCGTGGGCATCGGTCATGCTAGACTGAATAATAATCTCCCTGATCCCTCCCTCCCCCCCTTTTTTCCCTCTCACTCCTTGGCTCTTCTCTATTTTAACACGACGACTACATTGTGTTTCTCTGAGTCTTGGCTTCGCCGCTGCTCTGACAGCCATAGAAGAAGAAGAAAACAGTAGTAATACAGAACAGCTCTAGCCTATACCAGATGAAAATTAGAATTTTAAATAAGATGCAAATCACCATTGACCATTTTTCCCTGGTTACTGATTAAACAACAAAGGAAGCACATTGACGTGCAGTTTCAACAACCCAGTCCCCTATCTTGGGCCCCGCCCCCAGTACAATGCTAACAGGAACAAACATACATACTGGAGAAAACCAACATAGATTAATTTTATTCTAAAGAGAGAATAAAATGTTGAAAGCCAGATACCACGTAGATACCAGGAGATATAGATTGAATTGGGAGGATCTGTTGGATGTCTGCAGGGTGAAAAAGGCATGACTGCTGAGCTTGCAGTTTTAATTGTCAGCTGCTCACTGTGGTGGATCTGAGCTTTCATTTGTTTCTTCAGACAATAGTACAATATTTTTGTGTTTAGATTCACATTACAAACCCGATGTATGAATCATGGTTCCACTTGGCCTTGATTCAATTTTTTAACAATGTATCCTTTGCTTCCAGTGTAAAGCGACTAAAAATTTTCACAATGCCTCATGATAATGAGACAGTATGATGTAACAACTGAGAATTTTAAGAGATCCGTTTTCTCTTCCTACCTTTGTTCTTTTGCAGTATCTGTACCCTACTGAGTCCAACTGACAGTTTGTGTTACATCTTTCTCAACAGAAAACAGAGAAATGGTTCAGAGTCAGAGTACACAGAGAAACTGCAGCAGTACAGTAAGTGTCTTTGTTGAGATCTCCTATTTTGCTTCACTCCACATTTCAGAAACAAAATATGCTAATACTTGCAAGTAGAAATGATGGACACACTGCTCCCATTCTGTGAACTGTCGTATGTTATAGCTCAATATATATATATTTTTTTAAAGCTAAATTTTTTAAATCACTTTATTTGGCAACATAGATTCACTTTCCTGTTCTTGCCACTGAATCCCCAATAGTAACGCCAGGAATGAAGGTCTACATTGATCCGTTCACCTATGAGGACCCCAATGAAGCAGTGCGCGAGTTTGCCAAGGAGATTGACGTGTCCTGCGTGAAGATCGAGGAAGTCATTGGCGCAGGTAACCCACCAAAGCTCCTGAGCTACAGGGGGAAGACTGCTAGTCACCTCCAGGCCATACCATTAGAGGACTTCACACCAAGCGGTACTTTCACTCTCAATTCATCGTTAGCCCTCTTTTTCCTACCACCCCTACCACGCTTGTCACCTTTTAGGATCCCTTTTCCAGTCTTATAGTTGTCTTCAGCACCCTTTTGTTAAAGTAGTCATGTCTTCTTTAAGTTATCTTGACTCACAGTTTTATACTTCATGCATTTAGGGTAGTTGTAATACCTTTGATAATCATTTCATACTTGTTTCAAAAAAGACCCCAATCCTGGAACAAGACCAATGGTAATATCAAATCTTCTTGCATCTAATGGAACTAGATATTGAACAATGTGAAACCACAGCCTCTTGCTAACAAGATGCATTTCCCAAGAGCAGACTTTAGTCTTGGATATGCACATGTGTGAGTCTTTGTTCATCTTCCGTAGAGTGAATTAACGTTTAACATTGATCTTCGTTGCATCCTTTAAAAATATATATTTGTTTACTTGGTTTACGTATACTGTAAACTCCTTACTGATTTTAAATACTGTATGTTCATATGTACTCATTGAGCAAAGAACTTCCTTTTTTAATAGGTTTTACATTTTAGCAGTCACTCTCAGTTGATAAAGGATGCAGGAAAGTACTTTATCTTGCAAAAACAGTTTGCTCAGCTATCAAATAGATCACACAAATGACCTATGGCTATTTTATTATTGATCTTTGTGAAAGTTTGGGGAATTTATTGAAGTAAACTAAGGTTTTTTTTTTTTTTTCTGTCATAGACCTAATTCTAAATCTTTTTCATTGCAGCTTAAAATAATACATTGTCTTGAGTCCAGGATTGTTTTTGACCCGACCCACTTTTGTATTATTATTGAGAACCTCAATCACAAAAGAGGGTTTTATGTTGGATCACTATATTTGACCCTAGTTCATAAAAAGGTCCACTTTCCCACCCACCATGTGGTTGCCTTTCCTACTGTTAGAAATCCCTCATACATGTTGTTGAAGACAGTGAAATATTTTGTGTACTTGAAATATTTTAAAGTAATATTTCTGCTTAATAGCTGCAGGACTATGGTGTGTGAGAATGAGCTTTTATTTAACATATATATATATATATATCTAAGCAAAAATGGAGGACGTTGCAGAGATGGGAAACCCCTACTACTGCTTCTGCTACTACCAATACTACTGCTGCTACTACTACTACGACAGCTCTACTCCTGGGGCTACTACTTGAAACCCGTCGCTTCCCAGCATTCGCCTTTAAAGTGACAAACCCTCAAACCTGTCTTCCCTGTCCCCTTCCTTTCCTTTACCCCATCCTATAACCATCCCTCCCATCCATTCCCTTGCCCTCCCTCCTCTTATATTCCTCACTTTGTCACTTTTGTACCCATTTAAAACATATCACTCTCACTGCATATTTTTCTTGCACATGCTTGGTGTAGACTCTAAACATAAAGCATCCACAAATGCAAAACCTCTCAAGCTTTTGTCTCCGCCCATATCCTCAACCGGTTCCCGCCTCTACAGCCTCACTGAAGCTTAGCACAACCTCCTTAATCCATGACTCCTCCCTTCCACTGTCCCTAAGCTTCACTTGGCATATTACCCCATTTTACCCTTATTATATTTAATTTAAACAAATAAAACATTTTTTTTTTCATTGTTACCACCAGACTTTTCACCTACCATGCTTTTTTTTTTTTCTATTTGTATAGTCTAACAATACAAAGTTATTGTACACACTGTGTTCCACCACCATCCCTTAAGACTGGCCTTGAATCCTGGCTTTTCTTGCAGTTGTCAATGCCCCAACCTTCCTGTTCCTCTTCCCTGGCTCCTTGGTTCTAACCAGTTAATTGTCCCCTCTCCCCTTTTTCCCCCACTCTCCTCCACTCTTCCATCCATCATGCCTATCTCGCATCTCTCCTCTTCCTCTTTTGCTGTTTTTCTGTCTGTCTCACCTGGGCTCCAACAGGAGAATTTGGGGAGGTGTGCCGGGGTCGCCTGAAGCTACCTGGGCGCCGGGAGATCATTGTGGCTATCAAGACTCTTAAGGTGGGCTACACTGACCGGCAGAGGCGAGACTTCCTGTCCGAAGCTTCCATCATGGGCCAGTTTGACCACCCAAATATTATTCGTCTGGAAGGAGTGGTCACTAAAAGTCGGCCGGTGATGATTGTGACCGAGTTCATGGAAAACGGTGCCCTGGACTCTTTTCTAAGGGTGAGAAAAGAAAAAAAAAGGAATGTATAAAAGCAAAACAGTGTATCTTTAATATATACCATATTTGTTGTTTTGTTATATAAAACATATACTTAGAAAACAGTGCCATTAAGATCCAAATATATATATATATATATATATATATATATATAGTTTTGTTTTGTTTGTTAACCAGTTAGAGGGTCTTACATTTGACCACTTTGACATTGTAAATATCATGAACTTTCTGAATACCAAATCTGAAAGATACGCAAATATCTTAGTTTGCAATCATTCTCTCCCTCAAAATAAAATCATATATTCTATAACAAATATAAAAACAAAGTAGGAGTTGCAGAAAAAGGGAGCACTGAGGATAGGGGGGGGGGGGGGGCAGAACAAAAAGGCAGTGTGACAGGGTGATAAGATGGTAAATGCAAGATGAGGATAGCACTCATGAAAAAACAAAAATAGATACTCAAAATAGGAAGACAAGTCTGAGCATTAAAAGGTAAATAAGACAGAAATGTTCCACATATTCTTTTGAAAATGACACTTTGATCTACAATCTAGTCTAATGTTGTCATTCTGTCTCCTTTTTTTCAGCTCAATGACGGACAGTTCACAGTGATCCAGCTGGTTGGCATGTTACGTGGCATTGCAGCAGGCATGAAGTACCTGTCAGATATGAACTATGTGCACAGAGACCTTGCTGCCCGCAACATCTTGGTTAACAGTAATCTAGTGTGTAAGGTGTCTGACTTTGGGCTATCTCGATTCCTTGAAGATGACCCTACAGATCCTACATATACCAGCTCACTGGTGAGTCAGAGGATACATTACATGTCCATGTGCTGTACTTTGTAGAAATGTTTAAACCAGTTCAAAGTTACCACATCTAACATTTAACATCAATACGTTACTATTGATGTCAGCCCCTTTCACAAATGAACCCACAGACTCTTCCCACATGGCTTTACTGTTGTGTCTTTACTTGTCAGCATCCCAAAAGTACTTAAAAAATGAACATAAATAATTAAATAATAATCAAAGCAGGTGCTTCTGTTTTAAGCCCTAAAGGCTTTCTAAAAAATCCAGAAGAAAAACGGAAATTTCTCCAGATGAATGTGGTTTATGTTTTAATATATATAAATATACAGAATTTATATAAATATATAGTATGTATATATATATATATATATATATATTGCCTTTTGTGTGTGTGTGTGTGGGGGGGGGTATTGTATGTATTTTTTTTTTCTTCCTGTATAATTGCGTTGTGGTTTAGGCTGATGAAAGAATCCCTTTCAATATTTTGTTTAACAAAGGAAAAGAAGATAGCATAGAAAAAATAATTAAAAAAATAAACACCTAGAGCAATATCCGGCACAGAAAGACCTACCAAGTATACTGCTGACACGAAACAATGGTGTTAATTACTTAAAGAATCACTGCTGGTGTGAGATACCAAACATCTCAGTCACATTTCACTTTGTCATCTGGTTAACAGAAATAACTATGGAAAAAATACTGCTATATTGAAGTACAAATTACTATGAACAATGAGTTTTCCTAAAGCTTCATGTTTCATTTTTGTCTAAATGTTGACTAACCTTGTGTGTGTACATAGTGCTTGGGTTCTACAGCATGCACCCATGTGTTGTGCATCAGCATTTCCCTTAGAGTTTTTTCTCACCCTTTCTCTCCCCCTCTTGTGTGTGTGTGGCTCTGTCTCTGTGCTCCATCCCTCCAGTATTTCATGCTCACATACTCATTCGCATATCCACAGGGAGGAAAAATCCCCATTCGCTGGACGGCCCCCGAGGCTATTGCCTACAGGAAGTTCACCTCAGCTAGTGATGTGTGGAGCTACGGCATCGTCATGTGGGAAGTAATGTCGTATGGCGAGCGGCCATATTGGGACATGAGCAATCAAGATGTAAGCTTTTTTTTTCAGTTTGTAAAAAAACACATACTTGTAACTAATATTCACCTACACTTTTGATGTGCATGTGAATAGACTAAATTAGCTGTGCTGAGTGGTTAGAGCAGTCATTCTCCAATGCAAGAGTTGTGGGGTTCGATTCCACCATAAGTTACAGGCTGACATGTCCCTGGGCAAGACACTGAATCCCTCATTGCCTCCAACATGTGTCCCTTCTGTGTATGAATGTGATAAAGCTCTGATTATTATTTGTATAGATATAGTAGAGCGCTGTATAAATTTGTACATGAAGGCACATATTGAAGTGTCAAACACTTTGAGTATCTTGACAAGATAGAAAGGCACTATGGTATATAAAGCCCCCTGTATACTCCCGCGTATGTCCGTATGCGAAGGTAGGTACGTGGAGGTACACGCATACTTCTGCAGGGCATGTCCGTGCAAAGCAAAATTTTTATGTACGTGTACACAGTGTTGCACTATAAACTGCCCAACGACGGACTGTTTAGTATGCGACACCAATGTATTAAATTTCCCTTCTTCTTCCCTTATCTGGCTTTTTCCTTTTGTTTGTTTTTTTTTTTTTGTCAAGAGGCAATCAATCTCTTCCTCCTCCATTGATGCCATGACTGAAATTGTGAGAAATTAAGGAATTTGTCACGAGCAAACTAAAATCAGTCCCAGCATAGCTTTAGGAGGGTCTGGAGATTTCCTGTTGGACTGATCTGATGTGTGGGCTGCAGGGCCAGCACTCCCTGTTTTTTTTTTACTTTTTGTTAACAACATATAAACACAGAACGCGGCTGTGGCTGCCAGCTCTCATTATTTATTTTTTTGGACCTGTCAATCAATCCAGTAGGCGTGTCAGCAAATGACCAATCGTCAACCTCTATTTGTCCAGAAGGTAAACGCCCCTTGTCTGCGAAGCTGCTCTGCAGCCACTCAGGGTGTACGCTCGAGTATGAAGTCTCAACCCTCCATGTCAGTATGCGTGTCCCACCGCGCAGACATACGTACGAGGGAGTATACTGGGGGCTTTATAACAGTCCATTACATTTAAAACAGTTTTTAACTACTTAAATTGTCTTCCCCTTTATGTAACTCTCAATAACTACTGTACTTCTCACTCTTTTCCTTACTTCAGTGTCTAGCCTAAAGCTGGTTTTCTCTTCATATTTTATTTATTTTTGTTTCTCCTGCTCTCCCACACTTGCTCTTTTTATCAAGGCGCCTCTTCATTTGTTTGGGTTGTCCATTATGGTGATTAGAAACAAATCAGATTTTTATGTTGCCTTTCCACAGGTGATAAATGCTGTAGAGCAGGACTATAGACTGCCCCCACCCATGGACTGCCCCACAGCTCTACACCAACTCATGCTGGACTGCTGGGTGAAGGAGAGGAACTTGCGACCCAAATTTACTCAGATCGTGGCCACACTGGATAAGCTCATCCGGAATGCTGCCAGCCTCAAGGTGGTCACCAACAGCACACAGTCCACTGGGTAAGTCTTAGTTGAAATGTGAGTGAAATAGGATTTATGCATTTAATGTGAAAATTACATTTTCTAACTTAGTCATAAATAGCTGATATTTATTGTTCAGTTAACTGATGTTTAGAAAAGGTAGTGGTTTCCAGTTTCCTTTAGCTTACTGCTATTTAATAGCACTAAAGAACAAACAAACAAACATTATTTTATTAATTTATATGTTATAACAAACATAGTGACATTTTTCTGAAATAATTTATTATCTAGTAATTAGTTCATTTATTGCATTCACACAACTTGTAGATGATAGAAGCACCAAACACAGCATTTAATTTGCACCTGAATTTGTACTGTGTTCAAGAGCCTTTTAGTGCCACATACACAGATTTCTTTCCATTCAAATCTTTAGTGCTCACAAACGCAGGCTTAGCCATTATGCAAATCTTAATTACCATCGCTCAATACAACCTTTAAATCTGTTCAGCCACCAGCTGGAAGCTCAATCAATCATGCTACATCTACATTTAGCTGATTTATCTTTATTTGAAACTTGGTACTTGGAATTAGTTTGGAAGGTGAAAGGCGACAGAGTCAGAGAGTATAGAAAGGGGTGACCTACCTTTCTGCCTCTGTATCAGGCTTTTTCTGTCTTGAGGGAAGGCCTCAGACAGTCCTGGATTGGACTCATGAGGAAAACTAGTGTCTCGTTTGGCCTCAAGAGTGACGTTCTTAGAAGATTAGGCTTGCGGTTAATTAGCTCGATTAAGGCGATGCAAAAAAGAGATGCGAGCGTCTTTTAATTAGCCACTAACAAGATTTTAAACGGGCCATGGGAGAGGTGGCCTCCTGCCGACAAACCTAACAAGAGAGGAGTGAGAGATGGCACAGCAGCCCTGGTTGGTTAGAGGTTCAGAAACACTGTCTCATACTGTGTTCTTTGGTTTTGTGCTTTTATGGCTCGTATGCATATTCTAAAATGTGGTTAATGGAAATGTACAGTGTGAAAAATCTTTGCTGGTGTGAGTCTCGTAACACTTAAAACAGGAGTTAATTTTTTACTTGAGTATTTACTGTAAATATGGAGATCCACACGTAAGGAATGTGCCACAACACTGAACGTCATAAAATGTAAAACAGAAAATATCTTTCAAGAACCATCAAAATTTCTTATAAATTACAGTTTGGCATAAAGCAGTCTTACGAGCTAGCTCACAGGCTTATCCAACTTTCCTGCTGTGCGCTTGCCTGTGTTGTACATGTGGCCAGCAATAATCTGGACCTGTTTTTAGCCAACTTTAGAAAAACACGACTAACAATCCTCATCTGAGAGAACCCAGAGTCTGGTGTTAACGACAGCATGAAGCTCTGGGCTCCGAATCACAGCCCTTATTAAATATCACTCCATCTGCACCCCTCAATGGAGCCTCTGTATCACTGTTATTACCTCCCCTTCTTTCTTTTTCTCTTTTCTTCCTCATTCTCTTTCCATTCCTCTTTTAATTGTTAATGAATCTAATGCCATCAAAAAGGATGACAGGGATCAACAGAGCAGAGAGGAGAGACAGTGGTGCTCTTTCTCTGGGCTTGCTCCCTCGACCACTTCTCCCCCTTCCACCTTCCCTCACCTCTTCATCATCCACTCCACCTCCACTCTTGTTCATCTGCTCTACTTTGCTCTGAGTAGTTGCACAGTTTTATTAAAACTCTCAAGGTGGCCTTTTTATCTGCAGTGTTGATCACGACTGGTATTTTTTTCAACCATAGACTTTGCGGGCTGTCAACAGGTGGGCAAGTCCAAAGTACACTAAAACACATTTTCAGACACAGACAAGACAGTTAAAAAACAACTTTGACTCAGTTCCATACATTTTTCTACAATGAGTAGGGTTTGAGCAAGGAAAGGTTTGTATGTCCTGTTTTCTAGAATCCATTGCATCACAAGTCAGTTTTAAATGTTCATTACTGCAAGTATATAAACAAACATCTGTGATTACATTCCACAGATATTGCTGCTTTTTCTGTTTTTACCCTTTTTTGGGGGGGATTGTGCTTAAACACTCAGATTTTCCATCAGAGGATGTAATGTAAATGCAATAAGTGTGTGCCTTAGACTAACAGCTTGTTAGCTGACCTCAAGGATTCAAGGTTCTTTATTGTCATTCGCATTGCATGTGGTACATGAGGTGGGATGAAATTGTGTACACAGGGTCCCAGTTACATCCAACAATAGAAAAAATATAAAGTGTAGAAAGAAACAATAAATAAGGATCTAAGATATAAATTAAGATATACGCTAAACGAATACCCAACGATATGCTGCAAGATCTAAGATATATTCTAGTCGCAAAAAATAAAGTGGTTAATATACAACATGAATAATCTATGTTCATATAAAAGGTGAAAATGTGAGTTAATATGACCCATTAAACTACATGAAATTCAATCTTGCCAGATCCCATTCAGACCACTCATGTAAAAGTTTGAACATATAAGGTCTTCCAATCACTCTGACTGACTTTGTAAGATCTTTCCACATCAGTCCCAAAAAACACACAGGCAGTTTGGTTTTAAACCACCAGAAAGTGCCTTTTTGACTTTAATATCCTCTCATTAGAAAATAGAATAAAATAATAAAAACAAATAACACAATTCACATATTTTTTTTAGTACTGCATTTGTTTTCTGCTTCAAGAACCTACACAACCATGCCTTATCAGCTGCAGTGCCAACATCCACTACCCAAGCCTCCAGCCAGTCTCTCCACAGCCATGAAAATCCCTAGCCCTATTGCATACAACTCCTTACATTATGTGGGGAGGAGATGGAAGGAGAGGGGAGAAAAGAGGTTGAGAAGCAGAGAAATGGAGAGGTGGCGCTCAGTGGGAGGCGTTTGGGGGTGAGGTTGGCCGCTAGAGGCAGTAAAGTTATGACAACCCTCTCTCTCTCTGTCTCTCTTTCTCTCTCCTCCCCCTCCTTCCTCATGTAGGGTATCCCAGCCATTGCTTGATCGCAGTGTGCCAGACTATACCACTTTCACCACTGTGGGGGACTGGTTGGATGCCATCAAGATGAGCCGCTACCGTGACAACTTTGTCAACGCTGGATTTGCATCCTTTGACCTGGTGGCCCAGATGACAGCAGAGTGAGTGGAGCTCATCAGGACTAAAGTGATTGATTGTGTTGAGTTTGAGAGTCAAACTAAAGTTATACAAATTAACTTTTAGGGAATTATTATTATGTTGGATAAATTAAACATGATGTGAAGGTAATGATCATAACTCTCTCTTTGAGTTGACGCTAATTGGACTGATAAGTAACTTAAACTTTAATTTAAGAACAATGGTGAAGCTTGCAAAATAAAGTATAATTCATTATACGTTTGACCTAGCACAAATGCATTTTATGCTTTCTGGGTGGTACGACACTGAAGATACACAGTCAAAGGTCATGCCAGTAAATGTGTGTTTTAGTCTTTTTCTCCAAATATTTTGGCAATTAGAAAACAAATAGTTAAAAGCAGGAAAATAACAAATTTTAAATATTGTCTTTTAGAATAACTGTTTTTGTGCTTTTTGTATTACTTTAGCTTTGCAGTATAATTCAAACTATTACTACATTTATCAACATTGCAAACAAGCACATTTGACGAGCAGATCAAAACAAATCAATAGTACAGAGTAAAACCATTTTCCAGCATGCTCTCATAGCCACTTACTTACTTAGACTCCCAGTTCATGACATTTGTCATGTTTATAAACAGGAAATGATGTAATAGAAGTCATGCAAATTGGAGGAAAGTGATGATCAAATAAATGAATTAGGATTATAATGATAAATAAATCATTTTTATTAGCTGCATAATAGGCAACAGAGGTGGGGGTAATTTGTTTCAATTTGGCTGGGATGACAGGTGCGGTGTACTGCAGGTCTCTGTTGCCCTTAATGGCCAGTAATTCTTCTAATGGTTCCCATTTATTATCATTTCATCCTCTTTTGCTTTGCTGATGGAGGATGGCAAAATATGATGAAAAAATAAAATATTCACTCATTTTTCATTTCATGGAATGGATATTATAGGAATTTTGTGCCTGCTAATCTCAACATTCATACTGGATAGTGTCTGGATGTAATACTAGATTATCCAGTATTTATTTGTGTGAGGGAATAAAAAGAGAGGAAACAGAAGCGTGATGGAGGCTCAGCCATAAGCTTATCACTTCAACAGACAATATCTGCTCCCTCCCTACCTATTGGTCAGTAAAATCAAATAATTAAGCAGGAAAGACAGGTTCCTGTGATATGACTGGGTAGTGTAATGGGCATCATGATTAGGTTATGCCTAGGCATGGCCAGTGTAATATGTTGATGGTATGATAACAATGAGCAAGAACACATTGGTTTGATGGTATTATGGATTGAAAACATTAAAACTGAATCATTTAAACAGATGTACACATTGGTAGTAGACTTAAACAAAAGTATTTTAAGTTATATGTAATTGCATTACTTACATAAAGGTATGCAGATTACTGGTAATAGTTCTTGGCTGTTCTTTGCTTTATTTATATAATACCGGTACTATTGGAATCATGATATGGTGATGTTAGCTATTTTATTGTTTGAGTAAACACATTTACTTAGGATTGGCTGTATATTTTATTACTGCGGGGGGGGGGGGGGGGGTCATACAAACAGCTCACATTTAGAGTAGAAATAGTTTATGGAACTCCCTTTGCTTTGTCCACTGTATATGAGCATCTCACAGAAATCAAAAATGGAGGTTACGCAATGTTTTATCCAATCTGAATAAGAGTACTACTGTAATAATAAAATTTAAAAAAATAAAAAAAAAAACTGCAGGTTTTTTTTTTTCTTCAGAAATGATCAAAACTGTTTTAGGCTTCAGGAACAGTAAAATAAATAAAAAAAAGTGAGTTTTGAAGTTATCACTTTTAACACTGTGCCATACTTTAAAACTATGCCAGCTTGTACCTAAACTGTGCTTTCTGATGTCTTTTTGAAAATATAAATATAATTAAAGCATAACACTGTTTAATGATGTGGCTAAAAAAAACTAGTTTTATATTTTAGTTTTAAAAAAGAGAGAAAAGAAATAGACCCCCCCAAAAAAGGACTATTCACTGTAGTACTGCACTGTATTCTAAATAATAAAACAAAAGTTTGCCAAGTTAAACATATTTGCTGATAAAGAGACAATTATGAGTGACTGGTCACAAATTAAGTAATCTAAAATGTTTCCCTGGTTTTTGAGTTAAATGGCCGGCTGGTGTGGATTCTGTGAAGTCCAACATTGACCCAACAGTAGCTAAGTTTGTCTTTTAATCATTAACTATCATTATGGCCTTTTGACTTCAGTCACCGTGCACACCTGCTGGGTAACAGAAGTATGTTCCATTAAGGCTACCACTTTGATAGTTCTCATTTTGTTAACATGCTCTCAGGAAGCCATTTTATGGGTGATTGCCAGGGTGAGGCGAGGTCTGTTGCTTTTCCCACCTGGAGAAGTGTGTTCACTTGTAATGAAATGTGAAACTTGCGCTTTAGCTTTGGCTTGTGTAATGTTTGTTCACTTTTTTATTTTATTTTTTATTTTTTTTATGATAAAGCCACCTGTTCCTTTTTTCTCTTACCTCCACAGGGACTTGCTGCGAATAGGGGTGACGTTGGCTGGTCATCAGAAGAAGATTCTCGGTAGCATTCAGGACATGAGACTACAGATGAACCAAACACTTCCTGTGCAGGTGTGAGAAGGAGGACACTCATATGGATGCAGTCAAAGGACAGCCAGACAGGAAACGGGGGGAAAAAACTGTGCCAGAGTGGGCCAATTGAAAACCCAAGCTGCCTGACCCATATCTGCCAACAAGACACTCAAAACTGGCTTGCAGTGCCTCAGAATATATTTTTATTGATTTCAATGCCACATACATTTCCTGCCCCCTCTCTTTTAATCTTTGTAACATTTGTTTGCATCCAAATGGATTTAGCTTGTTTTTAAAAGAGAATAGGTTTACGTCCCTGTTCCAGGTGCACTTCACCAACTCTACGATGAGTTGATGATGGCATGCATGTGGTTTCTGTGGAGTTGGCCTTATCCGTGCTCTGCTCCTCATGCGAGGGCCGCTTCTGTTGACCTTTAATGCAACTCTGCTGGTTGTGAAAATACACGGTCAAGGATGAACTCCCACATATAAAAGAGTGAGCACGCTTCACTTGTATTAAAATAAACCAAGTGCAAAACGTTTGTGCGTAAGAGCACAGGAAAAAGAGGACAGTTTCCCTTGATAGAAGTTTTATTTTATTTTTTATTTTGTGTGCATGTCTGTTGTTCTCCGTCTTCATATTGAAGATGTGTTACCTAAAAGGGCACTTGGAGGAGAGGGGTGATGTGGTGAAAGAAAAAACAAAAAATCAAGATGGACTGCAGTCAAAGGTCAAGAAGATAACACAGGTCAACAAGGTCAAAAGAAGGCAGCCACAGTTTCAGACACCTGTGTCGACTGTTGGGTCACCAGATGACCTCATCTCCGACCTGAAGTGACTTTGGATCGTTTCACGACTCGGGAACACCTGTGTTTAACTTTTACAAATATGTTCTTACACTTTTTTTTTTTTGCCCACTACAATTTTTTTCATGTTTGTTTTGAAGTTGTTCTGCCTTTCTTACACATTTTTGAGAGAATTTTCATTTAAAAATGATTGGTCCAACTGGGATCACCCCCACTACTGGACATATTATGTGATTAGTGGGAGACAAGGACTGTGGCAACACTAATGGAAAGACCCTTTGGCCTTTTGTGTGCATTTTTTTATGCGAGTGTCTGTGTGTGTGTGCTTGCGTGTCTGTTTGATTAAGTGCGTCTGAGAATGCAAGAATGTTCCTAGCTGCACACAAGTTTCTGTACAATACAGCTTCTGCAGTTTGACACCGTGGAGAATTAACGCATGAACTGTTATAAGGAGCAACTATATTCGGAATAATTACGCTATACTCTGTGGACAGCTGTTAAAAATTCACTTTTTTACTGAATCCAAAAATTACTTTGAACCTATACACACACATACACACTCTTGCAGACACACACACAGTCAAACTTCCGTATAAATATATATAAATATTTAAAATCTGAATTTAGAAATAATCAAACAGTTCTTGTTTTTATTTCTTGACCTCTTCTTGCCCTGCATATTTATTTGTACCTCACCCATCAACCTTATTACCCCCCCACCCCCACCGCCAACACAGCGAGGGACAAGGCTGCTGTTTGGGAGAATGGACATGGAGCAATCAGAAGAAAACACACATTCAATTAGAAATCCTTATTGAATTGATGATCATTAAACAAAATTAACTACAAAAAATGGGGTATTGTATTTTTGTTGTTCTAAACAGCCTGTATAAGTTTTTTTTTTTTTTTAATACAAAATAAGATAAACAACAAAATGAAAATGATGTTTCAACACAAATAAGGTGTTCCTGTGAAATGTTTGCCTCTGTACATTTACCAGCAAGTAAAGGGAGGCTGGTGTGGGAGAAGAGAAGAAATGAATACCACTCGTGGTAAATCAGTGGTAATAACGTACTGCCCTTGTTGTTCAGCGTACCTTATAGTGTTGATTGTGTGTGGGTGTGTTCAACTCTTAGTGCTGCCTGAATTTGATACTGGACTTTCCCAATCCGTTCTCACTCAACATGCAGAGCGTTTGTGAAGCACTGAGCTGTTACTAATTGTCTTCCAGGTACATAATTTTCATCTGCAAACCACTCAGCTATCGTCCAACCCATTTTACTGACTGTCAAGAAGGTTTTTGTTTTCTTTTCTATTCTTTTTTTGGAGGGGAGGGGCTGTTCAGAGGTAGTCTTGGTTAACAGTCATCAGTTTACTTGGTATCATTGCAGTCACCCCAGAGGAGCGTCATTACAGGGCCTCTCCATCCAGCGGGGTCCTCATTAGAGAATCCCGAGCTGTCAGTGGAGAAGCCTATTGGTTTTTGTCTGTCAGCTCGATTAATGCAGCAGCCAATCAGGCCTTATGAGGATATGAATGTGCAGCGTACAGGCGTTCACGGACACAGGGCAGGCAGGCCTATCATTATTTCTCGTTCATTTCCTGTGTGGCCTGCAATCACCCTGTCTCAGCGCTGCGTGCTGCATGATTAGCGCAGAGCAGGATCAACAGCTCAAGTATAGACAGCCAAAATCTGGAGCCACCATCATCTTAACTGATAGCAGCTGCATCTCTGAGACCATGGCATTTTATTCTCACGACAGGGTGTGTGGAAGTAGCAGATTAGAGAGTACGGTTGTATCACTGCTGAAATCTTCTAGAAAGTTTTATTATTTGGGTTGGAGTTGATCAGTGAAATATGTGAATTCTCATTTGTTGCATGTATGCAGTGTTTTAAGGCCGTGCAGTGTCTTGACAGTTCCTATAAGAGAAATGGATAGTATGCAAACAGCAATGTTGTCCCAGTTTTGTACTGTTTAGTTTTTTCTACCAACAGGTGGTTTTACTAATATCAGTAGTCTCCGGTAAGAGCTTAATAACATGTAACAGTAGTGGTGCACCCTCACTATCACTGTAGTAAATTAAAGTAAAGTAAAGTGCTTTGTGTTGTCATCATTGTATGTTCCCATACAATGGCGAAATTGGTTCTCTGCATTCAACCCATCGCAACTGGGTTGCACCCAGGTGGAGCTGTAGGCAGCTATGTAAGCACCTGTGGAGCAATTAGGGATTAGGTTTCTTGCTCAGAGACACCACGACATGTGGGAATGGCTGCGGATCAAACTTGGGACTTGTGGCTATTGTGTACTAAATTAGTGCAGCAAATGAGTCAATTTGAGTTTACCTAGGTGATATTACGGCTCACTTTTTTAATCGGCAACTTAATCAAAAGATTATTTGTTCTTGGTGTTCACAATTATTTTGTCTTCATTCATGACAAATACCACTAATACTGGAGAGAGTGATAGATGTTTGGACATGAATACAACCAGATATTTCCAAGATTAGAAAACATTGCTCCTCCTCCTCTGATCATTTCACTTTCTTTAGCTCCATCCTTGTTAACTTGTGTACGGCACCAAACAAGACGCAGTGGATGGGAATAAAAATACAGAAAGTGGTTGAAGTTGAGGCTAAACACAATCAGATGGCAAACATGCCTACTCACAGGAAGTGGCAGCCCAAAGTCTTCATGAACTATTGATGGAGTGCACATGGTGCTCTGAGGTCTGGAGTTGTGTTCATGAAAGTCGACCAGCCATGAGCGATGAGCTCAACTGGTACTGTTGCACATATTTAAAACATTTTAACCTTGCTCCACTTCAACTGCAAACAATGAATCTACACAAGTTTTCTTTCTAGACATTCATGAGAATGTTAGAAATGTAACACTCGGAACAGGGAAGAAACCTGGTTTCCCATGGTTTGTAGTCCTTCATCTGACTGAGTGGCTGAAATTAACATGGACTGTTACATATGTGTGTATGTTTATGTGTGAGTGTGTGTATGTGTGTGTGGAGTGAAAAAAAAAAAGCTATTTTATGCAGGAACAGTTTGAACAGCAGTGTTTAGACTGTCAGTTGTGGTTATCTATTTGTGTGCCAATAGGATTCAAATGATCCTAACATTCCTTACACATTGTTTTTTTTTCTGTTTTACATATTCAGTAGATCATCACAGATTATACGCCCCTCTCCTAAAATCCACCTCTCATCCCCCACACGTGTCTTTCTTGTTTCGTTTCCTTACCTGTCTGTTTTAAATAAATATATACAGTACTTTTCCCCTCTTCTGTCTTCTAACAAGCTCACAGACCTTTGTCTTTTGGTCGTGTTTATTTTTTCATTTTTATAATAACAAGCAACATGTTTCAGAGAGTACTGTACATGTTTAGTAAGATAGCGTTTGGAGAGTGGGGTTGGGGAAAGAAATGCAACTGTCACCTCCTCTTTGAAAAGCATTGAGATGTATTTAATGGTGCAGACGTACACAACAAATTACTAAAATGATGATGCATTCTTGTAGAAATATTTTTAAAAGACCCTTTTTTGCAATTAAATTATTTAAGAAATGTGACCCGATCTCTCCATTGAGTCTTTGTGTCGTGTCTTGAATTGAATCATTTTCTGCACTTATAGGAACTTTGCCAATTCCTATTCACGCACATTCTCTTCAAGTCAAGTAAAGACTAAAGACAAACGTGTTCATGTCTCCAAATATATTTTATGGCTATCTCTCCCTCCTATAATCATTACCAAGAACATCGAGTAGTTTTGTTGATGTTACTACAATTTGTCTGATAAAGTCACACTAAAGCACATGTTTGGTTTGAAAACTCATTAAGGCAAATATTCCACAGCCCAGACTTTACTTATTTACACACATCTGCTCAGTGCATCTGCAAAATGAAACCGTTGAATTTTCACCCAAAGTTTTTTGATTTGATGTTTGGAGTTCAAACTGATTTAAGCTGCTGTATTGCTCTAACTGTAGAAAAGGCTGAGTTCATTCTAAGTAACAATACTTTGAAAGAGTTTTTATAGGTCTTTTTAAAATTTTTATTCAGCTACAGACACCAAGCACACACACACACATACTGTATATATATATATATATATATATATATGAATTCTGTTGATCATTGATTTAGTTACACATGGTATTGATTTGAACAAAGAAAGTACATGAACAAATGTACAAAAGTTTCCAAAATTAGAGAAATTGCATTCCCTGCGAAAATGCAGTGTGAATGCTAATTGCTGAAGAACTTGCTGAAAAAACAGCTGAAATTGACTAAAAACATCCTGAAATGTAGCTGAAATGGGAGAACAAGCCTAAGTAAGGAAAGGAAAGAAAAAAGAACACATGGGTGCTGAATTTGGTTTAAATAAGCAAAAATGAGCACAAAAATGAATAAATTAGCGAA